ACAAGAACAGAAAATCGAACACCACATGTTCTCACTCATAGGCGGGTGTTGAACAATGAGAACACATGGACACAGAGAGGGGAGCATCACACACTAGGGTCTGTTGGGGGAAATAGGGGAGGGACAGCATAGGGTGGGGAGGTTGGGGAGGGATAATATGGGGAGAAATGCTAGATATAGGTGTTGGGGGGATGGAGGCAGCAAACCACATTGCCATGTAGATACCTATGCAACAATCCTGCATGTTCTGCACATGTACCCCAGAACCTAAAGTGCAATAATATATATATATATATATATATATATATAAATTTCAAAAATTAAAAAAATAAATATTCATGGCATTCATGGGCTTAGTAATTAAAACAAATAAACACTTGTGTGTACCTGGGTAATAATAATAATAATAAAATAAACTTTTGGCATATTGTTAGTAAACAGCTTGATGATTTTCTCTACCATTTATCATCTACCCAGAGTGAAAACTTATCATCTGTGATTTGAGATTTAAATACTGATGTAAAATACATAGTGTTTTAGCTTGACATAAATATGTTATGTTAAATGGGTTAACATTGTTTAACATATGTTGGTTGTATATCAAAATGATTTCATCCCCTTTAAAATGTCAAATTGTTGAATCACTTTTAGAATATTCCAGTAATTCACTCAGACAACCTGGGTTTTAGGTGAGATGGATAATAAGAAACAGCTGGATCAGCTATTCTCCCATCAAGAGACATCATCATAAAAGAAGGAGGTTTATAGACTTAAGTTCATAAAATTTTACAATGACAAAGTACCACAAAGATTATATAAGCAAACATTTTATAGATGAGAAAAATGAAGTCAAGAGAATGACCTACCCAAAGTCACACAGCAAGTTAAGTGTTAGAGTCAGCTCAGAATCAAAGCCTCTGTTTTCCAACACAAGGCCTCATCTTCTACGTCCTACCATCTGCAATATGGATTGCAGGAAATCTCAAAAATGTGATATTTCCAGTACTATTTTACTTGCTCTGGGGAAAAACAAACAACAGCAACAAAACATGCACAGAGTGTCCTTGAGATTATATTAACTCTCAAAAAACCTCAGGAAAGAAACTAATGAAATTAACTTCAAAGCTGTAGGTGTTCCAGACAAAAGCATGTTTTTGGATTAGCTCAATGCTTAACCTTAAACTATTTGACAGTATGTACAGGCTTTTAATGCTTATAAGTTGTAATACATTGAATAATAACCACCGCCAAAATCAAGACCTTATCCGTGGAGTTTGTAAATGTTGCCTTATTTAGAAAAACTTTTGCAGATGTGATTAAATTAAGAATTTTGAGATAAGGAGATTATTCCGGAATATCTAGGTGGACCCTAAAAGCTATCACAGGCATGCTTACAACAGAGAAGCTGAGGAAGACCAGACACAGAGGAGAAGACAATGTGAAGAAGGAGGTGGAGATTAGAGGGATGTGGCCACAAGCCCAGTGTATAATCAGAGTTCTCCAAAGAAGCAGAATGCATAGGATGTATATATAAATGTATATAGAGAAAGAGACTTATTTTAAGGGGTTGTCTTGTATGATTGTGAAGACTTGGTGTATTAGTTTGCTTTCATCCTGCTAATAAAGACATACCCAAGACTGGGCAATTTACACAAGAAAGAGGCTTAGTGGACTTGCAGTTCCATGTGGCTATGGAAGCATCTAATGGTGGAAGGAAAGGAGGAGCAAGTTACATCTTACGTGGATGGCAGCTGGCAAAGAGAGAGAGAGGTTGTGCAGGGAAATTCCCCCTTACAGAACCATCAGACCTCATGAGACTTATTCACTATCACGAGAACAGCACAGGATAGACCTGCCCCTATGATTCAATTACCTCCCACTGAATCCCTCCCACAACACATGGGAATTCAAGATGAGATTTGGGTGGGGGCACAGCCAAACCATATCACTTGATGAATTCAAAATCAGATGGGTGAGGTCATCAGGCTAGATACTCAAGAAACAGTTCAAAGTCAAAGGCAGTCAGGATGGAGAGCCTAGAAGAAACACAATATTGCAGATGAAGTCCGAAGGCCAATAATCACATGCCAATTGTTATTTACTGTGTAAATTAATCATTTATATTCAATAAAAATAAGTATAACTCTGTTTCCTCCATAAAATGCTTTTAATGATTAAAAACTATGTTTCGTTGAGGTATGTTGTTATTCAGTAAACTGTTATAGTTGATTTGAAATGGTAAATCCATGCCAGTAAGTAAATTGAAGTTGAGTCAAACTAAAAGCCATAGGTAAAATAAAAGCTACTGGTAGAATTTCCTCTTGTGAGAGAGGTCAGACTTTTTTTTTTTTTTTTTTTTAAGGCCTTTCACTGACTGGATAAGGTACCCACACACTAAGGAGAGAAATCTGCTTTATTCAAAATCTGTCAATGTAAATGCAAATCTTAGACAAAATCATTCTCACAGATACATCCAGAATAATGTTTGCTGGAAGCTGTGGCTCCATCAAGTAGATACATAGAATTAGACATCACACCCAGGATTAGCCACTGGAAGCTAAAAGAGATAAGGAACGTATTCAATCCCAGAGCACCTGGAAAGATTATTTTTTATGCTTTACTTTTCTACTTTTTTGTTTTTCTAAAGAAACTAAATTTTAAAAATCGAAGTCAACTGTATGAATTTCTAAACATTTGATGTGAAACATCCTGGATTACTTAGCATTCCAGTTCCCACAATTTTCGCCTCATTTTATCAATCGCTGCCATATTAATAAGGATTTTTAATAGTAGTTGAATAAGAGGCAAAGTGTCTGAGTAAAAATGAGTATAAATACACTTCTTCAAGAAAACACCTTTAATCATTAAAAACAATTTTTTTGTTGATACATGTTGTTATTAAATAAACTGGTATAATTGATTTAAAATGGTAAACCAGTGCCAGTGAATAAATTGAAGTGGATTCACACTAAAAGCCACAGATGAGAAGTCATACCAGACACACACACACACACGCACACACACACACACACACACACACACACACACACATAAATATTTATATCTTGGTTTGTCATTTAGAATAGTGCCAGAGTAAGTGCTACCTCTAAATTTATGAAATATGTAAATATATCATTTAAAAAGCCATTTAGAATAAATAAAAATTAAAAATACAGCTAGAAATAAATCCCACCAAAGGCACAAAATAACCATTTAAAAACTTTTAAAACTTTATATAATTGAAAAATAATTAAATGAATGAGAGATGCAGCATCTGTTTTTTAAGTTTTATTTGAAGTTCAGGGGTACAAGTATGGATTTGTTACATAGCTAAACTTGTGTCATGGGGGTTTGCTGTAAAGATAATTTCATTACCCAGGTGTTAAGCCTAGTATGCTTATTTATTTATTATTTTTCATCATCTCCCTCCTTCCACCCTCCATCTTCCCAAAGGCTCCAGCATGTGTTTTTCTTCTCTATGTGTTCATGTCATCTCATCATTTAGTTTCCACATGTAAGTGAGAACATGGGGTAATCAGTTTTCTGTTCCTCTGTCAGTTTGCTATGGGTAATGGCCTCCAGCTACCTCTGTGTTCCTACAAAGGACCTGATCTCCTTCTTTTTTATGGCTGTATAGTATTCCAGGGTGTATATGTACCACATTTTAAAGTCCAGTTTATAATTAATGGGCATTTAGGTTGATTCTATTTCTTTGCTATTGTGAATAGTGGAGATGCAGCATATTTATGGATTTGAAAATATAATTTGATAATGATGTTACTCTTTACCAATATCATCTACAATCCAGTTCTAGTCAAAATACCCATGGGAATTCATGTAGAACCTGTAAAGTAAATTCTAAAATTTATTTTGAACAGAAAAAAATCAAGACACTCTAGAAAAGAATCATTTTAGAGGACTCACTGCCAGATAACAAGCATATTTTAAACCTATAATAATTAGAAAAATCTTAACCCTCATGTATTACTTTTGGAAGTGTAAAATTGTACAGCCGCTTTGTTAAAAAGTGTGGTAGTTCTTTACAAAAGTTAAACATAGAATGACCATATGATTCAGGAATTCCCCTCCTAGGAATATGTCCAAGAGAAATGTAAACATATGCCCACACAAAAACTTGTATGTTAATGTTCATAGCAGGATTATTTATAACATTGAGAACAACCCAATGTTCATCAACTGATGAATAGATAAATATAAGGCAGTATATTCACATAATGGAATGTTATTCAGTAATAAAAATGAATGAAATACTGCTACATGCATGGATCAATCTTGAATACATTATTCCAAATGAAAGAAGCCTGTCACTTAAGACTACATACTATAATTGTAGGATTAAATTTTATTAAAGGCAGAGGCCAGGAAAGTCTATAAAGAAAGTAGATTAGTGCTTTCCTAGGCCTGGAGTAAGGTATATTGTGGGTAGAAATGGTTGAGGGTAGATGCTAATGAATATGTCATTGTTTTAAGAGGCATAAATATATTCTAAAAGTAGATTGTGATGATAGTTACACAATCCTGTGAAGAAACTAAAAATCATTGGATTGTATAATTTAAATGGATGACTTGTATGATATGAGAATTATATCCCAATAAGTAATGAATAATATTTGTGCATAGGTAAACTAAAAGAACAATTAAACAGAATAGAGAGTTCAGAAACAAAAGCACTCATATACTTAAACTTGATTTATTATCCCACTGGGTTTTCCAATCATGGGTAAAAATAGATAATAACCCAGTACATGGTTTGAGAAGAATTTGTTATTCACATGAAAAAAATATGAAATTGAATTATTATCTTATAATCTACAAAATATTTTATTCCACAGACATTAAATAAGTAAATGCAATAGACAAAACTGAAACATTTTTGAAAAAAATAAAGAGCATCTTTATTTCTTTGGAGTATTTAAAAAAGAGCAAAGCATGGTAGCTCATGCCTGTAATTCCAGCACTTTGGAGGCCGAGGCTGGCAGATTGATTGAACTCGGGAGTTTGTGACCAGCATGGGCAACATTATGAAACCTCATCTCTACGAAAAATACAAAACAAATTAGCCAGACTTGGTGGCACACACCTATAGTCCCAGCTACTTTGGGGACTGAGGCAGGAGGATCACTTGAACCTGGAAGGTTGAGGCTGCAGTGAGCTGAGATCACATCACTGAGCTCAAACCTGGTGGACAAAGTGAGACCCTGTCTCAAAAAAAAAAAAAAAAAAGAAAAAGAAATTTAAAAAGAAAGAAAAAAATCACTAAATAATTAAATATAAAAGGAAAAAGTTGACAAATTTTTCTATATTAAAATTAAGAACTTCTGATTACCTTAAGATACCACCATAAAGATGTGGAGAAGGTACAGATTAGAATATTTACAGCATACAGTTAAGTAACCAGAGAGAATTAGTATTTAAATGAATGGTATATGAGTATACCATTATACTCCAAATTATTAATATTATTATCTAAATGAATCATAGTATAATTAGTATCCAAATAAAACAAGTTAAAGAAAATGAATAAGCAAAAGACTAACACCTTGATAAAAAATATGAAAAGATATGAACTGGCAATTCAAATAAGTAGAAGCTGAAATGGCTGATAGAAGGATGGCAATTCTTAGACCTCAGTACCAATTTTGAAAACTCTTAAAACTGCAAGGAGTACATCCATTAGTCTGGTGAATATTATGAGACCAGACCTTGCCAAATACTGGTGTCAATATGGAAAATGTGTATCTTCATGCACTGTGGAGAGTATATAATATAAATTGTTATAAACACTTTGGAGAAGGATTTTGAATTATCTGGCACATTTGAAAATGCTCGTAACTCTTGCCCTAGAAATTTATCTCTTATATGTATTCTTTAAATTAGCTCTTGTACGCTAGAAGATATGAAAACATGCATGCCACTGTTGTTTATAACACTGAAAAAATGTAAAAAATCAATAGACTTCAGTAGAGTACTACAGTGTAGTAGTATGAGTTTATAGCTCAAGAATAATATTGAAATACAAGAGGGTGCCTTAGAATAACACAAAAGGCAAAATCACGCAAAACTAAACATTATAATGTTTAGGGACATACAAAAAATGTGGAATGTATGGAAAGATGTGGGACCAAGGTCAGGCATATTCAACACCTCAGAATTGCTGGTAAAGCTATGTTGTGGGTATTTGTTATTTTTATTATTTTAAAAAAGCAATTAATGGTTTGTATACTCATGAATATATAATTATTATAAAAATAAAACTTTTATTCTTATAGAGATTTCTCAGTGGAGAGTAAGAAGGTAAGTTTTCTTGTTGTTGTTTTTTGTTTCTTTGTTTTAGAGACAGGATCTTTTTCTGGCTGTATCTCCCAGGCTGGAGTACAATAGCACGATCATAGACTGTAGCTCACTCCAGCCTAATCCTCCCTCCTCAGCCTCTGAAAGTGTGGGATTACAGAATGTAAGCCACCATACCTCACATTTTTTAGAAAAATTCATTTTAGAAACTCAAGAATTTTAGTCTATTTACTTCACTCATCTTCGTAATTGGTAAAGCTATCTAAACAAATATTAAATGACATGTAGAATTTAATCTAATCTAATCTAAGAATTCTATTAAAATTACTTGATGTTTACCATTTTGGGCTAATTTTTCAATGAAAATTTTTAAATGCTACTTTACAAGGCTGTATAAAACACTTTTGTTCATTAAGATAAATTGCTAAACTATATTTTATCTGTTCCTCTATATCATAGAGTTTTGTTTTGTTTTTACTTAGACAGGTCTTGTTTTATTGCCCAGGATGGGGTGCAGTGGCATGATCATGGCAACCTCCATCTCCCAGCCTCAAACAATCCTCCCTCTTCAGCCTCCTGAGTAGCTGGGACCATATGCATGCTGTTTTATTTCTTAATGCTACCTATATGGTGGAGGTTTTTTAATAGCACCTATAAGGTGAAAACTTTCTGCTGCCTTCCTGGTGCATCAGAATGTACACACAGGCTTGAGGCTGGGTATCTTGCAGACCCCAACTTTCTTCTTAATTTATAAATTCCTGTAGATGACATTTATCATGTTTTTAGGTTAAATATTTCCATGTAAAAAATTCCAACAGAGAAAAGTAAATCTACATAAATTAACTCCAGTCCATCTTTTTAATAGTCACTCTTTATAATTCTCAATAGAATGTTTCCATAAAACTAGTTTTACTAGAAGGTGTGATAAGAAAGTAACTTTTAGTTTTGATTGCTCTAGAATATAAAGTCCATTCGACATTTCATTCATTAATTTTAATTACACCATTTGTAAGTAGTTTATGGCGGACTGGCCCTGAGCCAGACTCCTGTGTGCACAGGCAATGGACTTCAGTGATGATGTTTCTCCCTTCCATATGTCACATCAGGAAAGGAGACCACTCTACTCATATTACCTATTTTGCTTGAACAATATCAGGTTTATTACCAGCCTTTACCAGTTTTTCAGAGCATTCATTTTCTACTTTACTGAATATAAAAATCCTGTCCCTATGTAGGGTCTGTTTTTATAGAAGGTCCAATAAGTGTCTGAGTTCAAATGAGTTTACAAAGAGAAGTGTTGACAGTCATCAACACATTAAGAAGGGAGATGAAAAATGAAAAAAAAATAATATAAGCAAGAGAGAGAAAGAGAATGAGAAAGATTAGTTTTGTTATTGTTCTGTTATGAAGAGCGATTTCTTTTTTATAATTTCCTAAAGCTGAACTCATTCATTTGTTTATTCACTTATTTAATAAATACATTTTGAGAAATTACTATGAGTCAGGGAATTAGGTACTACTGCAAAATTTTTTTAAAGTTTTCCAAAATATTTTTCTCTAATATGACTTGATATAAAGGTTTAAAGGCTGTGTCACTTTAATGAAGGGATTAATGAAGGTTAAACAATTTTTTAACTACAGAAATTGCACAAATTGTTGAAAGGACCTATAATGTAAACGAAGGGGTTGAAGAATGTTAAACAAGCTTGTTTATTGCAGACTTTCTCATGACCTTTTAATTTATAAGTATGCATTATGAATCTCCAAAAGAAGCATATTCTATGCAGATTTTTCTAAGAATATTTCATTGAATAATCATTTTTATGTTTGTTTTCATTTTGGGTTCATTTTAAGCAATAAAAATAAACATAATAATGATTATTCAATCAAATACTTTAAGCAGTTAGGCCTGAATATGAGTTTAAGATAGGAAGCTGCTCTTTGTACATTCACAATTCTAAATATGAGCCACAGGTGGGAGGGAGGACAGTGCTTGGTTTTGTTCTTTTGTTTTTGTGTTCATAGTTTTATTTTTGCAAAATACCATATTTGCATTAAATATTTAATATTCTCTTATCAAAGTGGTCATTTTGTTTTCTGTTTCTTTTTTTCTAGCTTTATTGGGTAGGATTGACAAAAATTTAAGATGTAAGATATGTATATGTTGTGAAATGATTACCAAAATAGGACTAATTAGTATAGCCATCACTTTACATAATTACCTTTTTTGTGAGTGATATTTAATACTAACAATTTTAGCTTTTGTATGTAATGGTTCTTCATACATACTAATTTATGCAACAATTATTTATTGGGTGTTATTCTATACCAGACACTAAAAATAGGAAATATGTTTTTATTATAATTTTGAATTTTTTTAAACTTATATTGTATCTTTAACCTATATAGCATTGTGGCTTCTTTAGGAGCTTAAATGGCTTTGATAACATTTGTGGATAAATTGAATCATTTCTGTGACACTTATGAATCATAATAATTCAAGTAAAATTGGGTTTAATTGAAAAATCAATTATCAATAAATACCCATTTTCTCTTTAGCAAAAAATAAAATTATTTAAAAGCAGTTGATTACAAATTCTATGACTATATCTGAAAATTTGAAAAACAACACTTAACTAAAAATATTCTTTATGTTTCTGCTATAGAAAAAGGGAGAGACTGAAGAAGAAGCAACTAATATTTAAAAATGTGTATCTAAGCTATATTTAAGGTAACAGACCATGATGAGGGGAGAAATGTTCTTATAATTAAGAAGGAGCTACCAAAGTCATGTGATCTCATTAATCACCTTTTGCCAAGATCTCAAGCCATTTTAAAAACAGTCTGTGCCCAAGACATGAATATGCCTATAATAGTTGAACCCTTAACGTTCTGATAAATTGCCTAAAAGCAGCCAAGAACCCTGCAGTTAAAAGGTTGTACAAGTGAGCCTATTAAAAATAATAAACTAGGATCCATTTAATTATATGGCTTCTTAGTAACTGCCATTTGAAAACAAAATTGAGCAGGATAATATCTGAATAAGCTTTAGATTTAAAAGGCGAGCTGTGCTAATGAAAAATTACCTCATTAGCAATGAGTAATAACATAATTTGCAAACATTTATACGTGACCCAAGAAAAACAAATGTAGAGGGTTAGTTTTCTAATCTGGTAAGAGCTGGTAAAACCTTGTTTAGACTAGAGCAAAATGTGATTTCTTTCCAAGCTTTGTAGCTGAGTCAACACAGACAGAATGAAGTGTAGATTTATTTTGGACAATGCTCTGTAATTTGGATTACTATGGAACCTTTTTCAAAGTTCACTGCATAACTTGGTTGTTCTTTTTTACTCCCTCTGTAGAGTTTGAATATCTAGAACTAAAGGCAGTGTAAATGGTAGAAGGCAGAAGGGTTATGGGGTATTCAAAAGTCAATCACATTTTTTTAAAAGCAAGAAATTCAAAGAAACTATATATTGAAAAATAAAGAAATTGACACATACACTAATTTTATTTCTCAAAAAGTAATCTCTATTTTAAGATTGGCATGGTGAAATTAGCTATTAAACAAAAACCGGGCCATATAGTTTGACAATTATTCCATGTGAAATACTTGTGAGAACAGTTTTGCAATGTTTTAAAATTAAACCATTTTAGTTATACAATTAGCAAATAACCTTTATTACAAATTTGCCCACTTTCAACCAGAATATAA